AGATCTTATCCATAGCTAGAGACTGTATGGTTAGGGCAACTGAGACAATCAGCTGGCTAGAAGCAAAAGCGTGTTAGCAGCACAGAGGAAGCTGGAAGCTGGAAGATTGCAATAAAGTCACAGCATGGCATCTAGCTAAGGTGGGGACCGTAGATGCCCCCGTGTACAGCATGGTTAATAAACCAAAGCCACGGAAAAACCGCAAGAAAATGCTATACAGTTGAAGAAAAACATAGAGAGAGAGAGAGAGAGAGAGAGGGAGGAGGAATAAAGCGTGTGTAAGCTGGCAAAAGATGAAGTTCGCTGCACAATGAGATTTATTTATCGTGATTGTGCGCTTAATTGAAAATTGTTTGAAAGGCCGCACATGACGCGGCTACTTGAGAGCGCAACAGGAATCGCTAGACTTGAAGCTAGTAGCTCCAAGAGTTGACTCTCATATATCAATGTGACCCATCTGAGTGCGCTATGGCTCTTCGGCTGTCATGCTTAACGGTATTTTTACCACGCACACACACACACATACATACTGACACAGATTTTGTTTTCCTCGCTTGTTATTTTCAGTTTTTTTTTTGTTTTTTTTTGCTCCTGCGAGCGACTTTTACGAACAATTTGTCAACGACATGGACAATGATAGCAGCAGAAACTGTTGCCAGTTGTAAAATTAAAATGTCAAAGCCGGCAACAACCACTGGGCTAACGCGCAGGATATATCCCCACATACGAACACAAGACACAAGCCATGGCAAGCCAAGCCGCGCACCAAGTGCGGGGCCACCATGAATGGAATCCATCAGCCACCCATGGAGCCAAAGGCCTCCAGCTGGCAGTTGTCAAGCAACGCAGCGAACGCTCGCTCGCATTCAATCAGTTCTCAAATGCGTTGAGAGTAACGCACATATTCTTTTCTAAATGCAAAATGGGCGGGGCAGCCGTCCACTTAGCCTCGAGGGAGGTTCCGCATGGCTGGCATATGCCATGGATATGATCATATCTTAAAATAAGCTCCTCCAAAATCCTAACCATATCTGATGTAGTTTTTGACAAGGAAATTATATGCGAGGTATTTGTAGTTCAGCATTTTCTTTTTTTAATAAATGTAATTAAATATTCTATTATTTTTAATGCAAAAACATTAAAATTAAATATGCAAAAAATTTCTGGGATTTTACTAAAAATATGTACAGAGTTTACAGTAGAGGAAATTAAAATATATATTCCATTCATCCAAGTTCAATTCTAGTAATATAAAAATACATAAACCGAATCAAGATATTTCTATAACTTACAAAATTTTATTTTTTATACAAATTAAAATGAATTATATGAGCTCAAATTGAGTTATTCAAAAGAATTCAAAAGATTATTTATAAAATTGAATTTATTTATTTCGGGTTAATTAAAAGTTTTTCTCCAAATTTTCTACTGAACCAAAACTCTAATATGTAATATATTTTAGTATTTAATTGAAGAAACATTAAAATACATGTTGCAATATATATATTTTGTTTATTCTTCATACATTGTATTTAATTATTGAAATTATTATATTATTATAATTTAAATTTTAAAGTCTTTTGATGTTTGAATTGAACTATAACAAAATATTTATTATTTTAAGAAAAACCATATAAATTTATAAAATACAAAATAAATATAATTTATTAATAAAATAAAGATTTTATATATTTCAATTACATATATAAAAAAATCTAAATCTTTGTAAGGAATTGTTCAGCAATTGAAATACTTGCCTTCATCATCATAAAAGAGTTGTTATAATTTTACGATACTCTCACTTTACTCTTTCAAAGCTTTTCAACACTGTTTCAAGGACACTTGATACAATTTCCTATTGCAAACATCCCCTTCCCTAATTATCTCTCATTTCTTGTTTGGTTGCCTTGCGACAAAGCTCTTAACTAGCCAACCTGCTGCATTATCAAGTAGCATATGCTTATGGCTATCCGAGTGTGCGTGTGAGAGAGGGAGGAAGGGTAGGGGAAGGTACCCTAATGGCATGGAGGCACCCCCCTCACACACGCTCGACGGGCGGTCTCTCCGCCGTACAATTCCATCAGTTGGAATAACATAAAATACTTTACAGAAAATGCGCTCAATGGCATCCTTGACAAGTCGCCTCTACCGCCCGTTGGCTTCCGTTGGATTCAATGTAATGTAATGTGTTATACCTTCGACCTTCAGTACCACACACCCCGCTTACATCCTATCCAGATAGCCCTGAATTTTTACTTTGATGTGTGTGCGTGTTTTCTCTTCTGGATTTGACTTGTTGCTAATTTCAAGTTGATTTCCGAAATTTGATAAATTGAATCGATGTCGAAATTTAAATTGTAAATTTTCAGCCTATTCAATATAAAAATCTAAATTATGGAGTTGAAAAATGATTTCTATAAATTATTTGTTTATTATATAAAATTTGGTGCCAAATAATTTACTATATATGTATTATCAACTGTTCTTCAACTTATGATAAGGCATACACAGACTGTTTAAAGCTTTACCCTCATAAATTAGATGGAAATTTATTTTTTCGTATTTTAAATTAGCTTTTCAAGTACAATAAATAAATTTATATTGCTAATTTTATATAACAAATCCTAGAAATTAAGTACAATTTTTGAAAAAACAAAATTAAAATATCTGCAAAAGTAAAATCGTCATCCTAAAAATGAGCCTATAGCTCCATAGCACCTCCAATTCAACTTCCGCTACATTTGAAGTCAAGTAAAATCAGGTTAATATCTCGTCAGGCAGTTGAAAGTCCCGCAGAGCGACTAAACGTGTGAGTTTTATGAGCTGGCTGAAATTTTAAGAGGCTTTCAATTTAATGGGCCAATGCGATGTGTTAAGAACAACCAACAACCAGACCAGGTGAAATAAATTGCAGAATATCCGAAATGCATGCAAAAGGCAGAGAGAGATTTCCGCAATGTATTACATATGCAATGATGAATGTATGTAAAGATGTATGCATGTTTGTGTGTGTGTAATCAGACAGGGAAGAGTCGAGTTTATTTATTGGTCGATGCCTTATGACAATATCCCTTGTGCGTTTCTGTGTTTTTTTTTCTCCTGTTTTCCACCAGGTGTCGACGACTGCATGCGTCAATTACTTAATTTTAATGGCTTTTATTATGCACTCTCACACACACATGGACACACGCACACACAATCAACTGCATCTATAAACAAGGCCCGCTGTGTGGGCTATTAAAAAATAAATAAAAGCTCATGAAGTCAAGTTGGGAAAAGCCTCTGGACATGACAATATGAATTCGAATAAACTTAATTAGGACATAAATATGCCTAAGAGACTAACTAAGAGACGAAGCTAATAGAAAATGTCAATGAGTGATGTGATGAGTTTCAATATTTCTGAAATGTTTAGTTAACATTTGAAAGTATATATCTATTCCTGATATGATAGAAATGAATTTTTGAAATTGTTGTTTTAATTCAAACAATTTTTCTTTTATCATTTTATTTTTATGTGACAAAAAAGTGATAGTAAAATATGTTAATAATTTTGTTTTGTTTTTTTTTTTTACACTTAAATATAATATAATAATATATACAACTCTTTTTATTTGTTTTATTTTTTTATTAATTCAATCCATTTTTAGTAAATTAATAATTCATATTTGTAAAATATGATATGATATAATATGAAAATATGATAAAATATATCATTTAATGAACCTTGTTCATTTTTTTTATTCTTAAGTTGAATATTACATTTTAAAATGTTTAATAATAACTCTTCATTCGAAAATATTGTTAGTTTTCATGATTTGTAAGAAATTTAAAATATGTAAAAATAATTTTTGTTTGTATTTGTAATTGATCGTTATTTCTAATAAAAATTTTCAAATCATTAGAAAAACTCTGTTTTCATTTAACTTTCAGCTAATAAGTAATATTTAATTGCTTCAAAACTGAGCAACAGGCTGCATTGGACGCTGTCACGTGGGAATCCAATCAGGCAAACATTTTCAGCCAATTGGAATATATAAATAAAATTCCTATATACTTTCTATTTTTATTTAAATACGATATAAATATATTTTATTATATAGCTCACCTGGTAAACAGAAACTCAACGAGGCGGCGCTGGAGATTCTGGCGATTTGATTACTTGAATGCAAATCCGAGTTTGAATTGAAGTTTGAGTTGGAGTTTGCCTTATCAACATCAACAGGAACAACAACATTAACTGTCCACTTGTTGCTAACTGTTGAGTGAGCAATTGCGCGTGTGTTGGATTCGCATAGAGTTTGTTTATGACGCCTGCTCACACATCCAACAACAAACAAACAAAACGCAGGTGTCGACTTCTCCTTGTTGTTATTGTTGTTGTCGTAGTTAAATTATGACCGAGCGACGGAGACGCAAAATACGAATAAAACAAACACGCACACTCACACGCACATATACATACCTACACACACACTCAAAAGACACTTTCAATTACGCACTAAACGTAACAGTTGTATAAATGCAATGTAAAATGTCTTCAGCTTCTTGGCACTGCACCTGGAATTTGTTTATGAAATTCAATTGTTATTGTTGTTGTTTTGCAACAAAAACAAACAGCTGCATACTCTTGTCGCTTTAGCGGTATGGTGAGTATGCGCAGCCCGCAGCAAGTTCCCACACATTTCACATTTAACAGCATTTGCGTAATTATTCGTTAGCAATTTAAATATTAAACACGTCATTCAATAAAAACAAACATTTAAAAAACCTTAAATTAAGTATTTAACAGCAGCGCACAAACAAAATAACAATATTAAAATGTGCAGCGTTTAATAGCACTAGTTGAACACTTGCTCACCGAGCACTGCATGCGTTCACAACTGTTGCGCACAGCTGGGCAGCGCTACCTAACAGTTGCGTAGATATCGATAGTTGTATTTTCGTGCCAATGACAGGGACTGCTGAAAATATTAAATAAATGTCAAAGTATTAAAATTTTGTGCTAAGCAAATATTGACTTGCATAACGATTTTATTTTAATCTATTCATTTTAAATAATTTTACCATTGGCTCACGATATTCGGTCAGCTGTTTGTTTGGCTTTTAGCATTAGCCAACACTGCTGCACATGCTGTGCCGAATTTAGTTGCCTTTTGCGGCTTTTATTTGCCTGGACAACTGGATAGAAATTGCTGGCCCCCATTTGCTGCATTTAAGATGGGCGAATTTCAGACGTGGCTAAACGATCAGCTCCGCCAGCTCAATACAGATGAGAGCGTCTTTGGTGCATACATCATTGGCATTCTCGAGGGCGAGGAGGAGACACAAGATGAGAAAATCGAGGCTCTCGAAGGGATACTCAGCGGCACCGAAGTGAGTGGAATTTAAGAGAAGTTAACCGATTCATATAGCAACTCCTATGCAACAGGCCTCCAACATAGAGGAGCTGGTGGCCAGCATCTTGCAGAAGTGGCTACAGAGCCATCCCAGCGCCGATGAGCCGCCCAAGAAGGGTCTGGACATCGATGTGAACGCACAGCTGGCCAAATTGCTCGAACAGCAAAAGCTCCAACCCGCCGTCAAAGAACGCGAATATACCGAGGAGGAGCTGCGCATTAAGCAGCAAATATTAGCGCAATATTCACAGGTTTTAATTGATATTCCTTTTATTTATATTCACACATGTGACTCACATTTGATCTGCTTTGCTTTCAGACTGCTGTCAGCGAGGAGGAGGATGAGAACACAGATGGCGAAAGCGGCGAGCCAAGCGGGTCCAGTGTCATGGCGCCCAACACCAACAAGTCGGATGTGGCCAATCTGGCCAAGGAGAAGCGTGAGCAGGCGCGCCTGGAGAGTGCGGCCAAGAAGCAGAAGGACAAAGAGGATCGGGAGAAGCAGAAGCAGCTGCGCGAAGAAAAGAAAGAGAAACGCAAAACCGTCAAGGGTGAACGTCGCCGGTAACCGGGCCAAATAAACCAGAAACCCAAAACAAAGAAAAAACAAAATCCGTCTGCCAACCCCTCAGCCGCAGCCCAACTCCCACAGCACAGATCTGAATTTACACAGTCTCTCAAAAGACATTACGAAACGAAAACCAAGAGACAAAACTCCATGAATACAGTCAGAATAATAACTATATATATAGTATATATATTATTTGCATTGCAAATCGAATTGCAATTAATTATGTCAATGTATTTTGTTGCGAATCGCGTTGATATTTGAAATTGTTTTTACTAAATTAAATTTTAAAGTCGTTTTCACAATGCCGCAAAATTTTTAATTCGATTTCTAACGCTAACTTGGCTTTCTAATTAACTTCTAGGAATTATGTATAGAACTCGTTTGGATTTTCCTTTGTAAATATGTATATCATTAATAGTTTCGTTTTCTTTATCGTTTATCCTTCGTCCTCATCGTCGTCCCCATCCTCATCATCTTCATCCACATCTTCTTCATCATCATCGTCGTCGTCGTCGTCGTCTTCCTCCTCCCCCACATCGTGCTCATCCTCGTTCTGCTGCTTGGCTGCTCCAGTTGGCTCCTGATCAGCGGTGCTCTCATTATTATCATTCTCATCGTTGGCCTCGCTTGGATTCGGTTCATTTGCTGCCGATGCCGCCGCCTCTGCCTCCGCCTCCGCCTCCGCCTGCAGCTCTGTAGATAATTTCTTAATGGCCTCTAGATCAGCCAATTGAATGCGTCTATTGTTAGGATCCAAACAGTTGACTTTGACATCTATGAAATCACTAATATGCTGCTCATCCCAGCTGGAATACTGAGAGGAATAGTGAAACGTTTAATAAACAAACTGATGATCAAACTTGAATAATTTGTACTTAAGAAGAATGAATATTTTATGTAGAATGAAATGATTTTTTAGACATATCTTAAAATTACTTACGTATTTTGTTGAATTCATGTTATTTTATTATTATGGCGGAATTATTTGTTCAAAAAGATGATTAAAATTCATGAAATATTTCATTGTATTTTGAATTTATGTATTTATGAATTTTCTGTTTTTAATTATATTTTTATATTTATAATATTATTTATTTTTAATTATACTTGAAATCATTCCTACGATTGTGCTGTAACGCCATCTATGGGTCAGTAGGGTAAGTAGCTTGCGCACACTAACGTGATTATAAATACATAAGCCTGGAGATATGCAATACACATTGTATTCCAGTGAACTTCCAATGGAACGTGAAAATCATTTCAGTATTGCTAACGGCACATCGTAATATAGTAATCACAATTGAAATTTCTACCCTGGCAACTGGCAGATTCAGAGGAATTATGCAAGTAGATCAAGTAGAATCCTTTATTATATGACAAGATGCCTAAAGTTGGCTATATATGAAGGTTTTTATATAATTTATTTTATTATTTTTGACTAGCAAGATCTTGAAATTGCCAGAATTTTATAAAATATTTATATTTATAAAATATTGGTATTTTTTTGTTTAGCTGGCAAGAAGATATCCTATATAATTAATGCTAATGCATTAGACAGAATCCGAAGAGTATATTATGCAAGGTGTATTTTTTGAAACTAATAGTGTAATACCCTGTGGTTAGCAACAAGCTGAATTCTGTAAAATTAAGTACGTGAATTTTTTTGTTTGTCAATTTATAAATTAATGGTATTTGAAATGATATCAACAAAATTAAATATGCATTAGTTTCAAGCACATATATATATAATTTTACTCGAAAATCTCTAACTTATTTTGATTTTTAAAATCCCCTCATTTGTGTAGAGCAATTTATACTTCAAATAAAATATAATTTATGTAGTATAATAATATAATTTAAATAATAAATAGTAAATATTAATAGTTTAAGATGTTGGAAATATTTTTTTTTATTGTTACATACATTGACACATAATCATCATACCCTCTAATAGCCAATTTAAATTATGTAAGCATAGGGAATGAGTGAATAGCCAATAGCAGGCGAGCATGATCGCTGCTAACAGCGACGCCGGCAGATCGCTGCCAGCGACTGCTTCTGCTCAGCCTTCAAAGAGAGCGTAAAGAGGAGAACACCATAATAGCTGAACTGCAACGGTACTTATGCCTGTTGACATTTTTGCTTTTTTTTTTTTTTTTGGCAAATCTATTTATGGAGGTAAATTTTAGTACAGTCTCTTACCACAGAGCTGGAAGTGAAGAGCAGCTGCTGCTCTTGCGGCTTGGCCGCGTCCTCAGTCGTTTTGACGCGCAAATATTTCTGCAACAGATTCGTTTGCTCATCCTTGCGCCAGAGACAGAGCCGACTATTTTGCAGCCAATTCGCATCCAATAGATCCCGTTTGTTGAGCAACAAATCCAATTGGGCCAATTTGACGAATTGCTTCTTGGGCGGCAGACCTTGTACACGCTTCGCCGTCGAAGTGCTCGCCGCGGCGACATTTTCGAATTCGCCCTCACTGGGCTCCGATTCTAGATTATTGTCATCCTCCTCATCGTCCAGAGACTCGAAATCTTCATCGCTTACCTTGGGCACAATCGTACGTCGCTTGCTCTTCGCTGCCGTTGCTGTTGCAGTTGCCTTGCGTTTGCGTCCAGCGCTGCCAGCGTCGCTGCCGCCAGCGCCAGCACCGCTGCTGCTGTTATTGTTGCCATTGGCGCGTGTCGGCTGCTTCTGTTGGCGTTGCTTCTTGTTGGGTCGCCAATCCTCCTCGGAATCATCGTCGTCCGGACTGTAGTCCTCTTCATCGGAATCCAGATCGAATGTGGTGGTCACCAGCTCCGTGCGACTACGCATTTTTCCAACTGATTTAACGGCCCAAAATGAAATTCTCTATCCGTATTATTTTTTTTGCCTTTAGCGCTGCGCTGCGTCTCAAAGCTAACTGAAAATTTGCTGTTGCTGTTGTTGTTGCCGTTGCTGCGACTCCCACATGTATTCGTTTGGGAGCAAATTGCAATACATCTTCTCTGCAGCAGCGTTAGCCTTTTTTGGGGGTTGTTTCTCTCTTTGGCCTGGCGCGCGCTCACTTTCTCTCTCTCTCTCTCCAGCTCTATCAGCTCCATGTAAAAGCTTTTTTGTACCTGTAAGCACTGATGCTATTTCAGACTTTTTCCCGCCAGATTTAGCTTTCTTAATAGTTCTATTGCAGGAAGAATTTGAAAACAGCGTGAAGCGGGAAATTTAGCTCTTTAAGTTTTTTATTATTTATTTAATAATATAACAGATATTACAAAATTCCTTTCCAGCTAGATAAAAAATTGCAAATCTATCCATCGAATTCACAAATGAAATTCAACAGGTTAATGCAATCGATGTCATTCATTTTAAACCCAGTAAAATACAAATGAACGCAATTTTCTTTGCCCACCTTATTGGGTTCGTTGCTATGTCAGATCAGGAAATTAGCTTTCTGGCCAGTTATTAGCGATCGGTAAACCGATTCTTCACCAAGGTCATTGATATCAGTCCAATAATACTTTTCGCTCTTTAAGTATGGAATAAGTGCATCAAGTTCCTGCTGATTAGCTAGGCTGAGGAGATGGGAGCCAACTTCGATCCGATTCGCTGAAACAGGGAGGGAACTTTTCTACAACGGTCGATTGATGTATTTTGCTCCTTCAATTTCAGATTAACCTCCTCGATTGCGCTGCCGTGGCTGGCTAGAGTTCCTGATTGTGTGGCTACCTGACCTTCGACCTTGTCCAGCCTGGATTCCGTGTTCATCGATTGGCATAAATTAGAGCGCTGCACAATTTTGTCCACGACATTCAAATGATCCAGCAGCGGCCGGTCTGCCTTCCACAAATAAACTGACTGATCTCAGCTCTATCGAATGATTTTATATAGCATTCATTAAGAATGTGCCATGCCACAAAATAAAAAGATTCGTATACATTTACAGATCTTATAGCATTCAATAATATTGCTTGAAAATAATCTTATACAGAGTAACATTATACAGTGATGCTTGGATAATGGACACTAGCATATTATATTAATAAAAATCTCGAAAATCTTTAAGCACAGCTGAAGAAATTCATTTTGTTCAAGTCTTATGTTTTTTTCTAGGAATACGACTAATTTCAACAAAGTTACAGATTCAATAGATTAATCAGTACTGTACCATAGCATATACATATAAACAGTTCTCTACTTATTATAGAAGAAGGTCACTCAGAATGCGTATCACCGAGATTAAATCAAACACACGCCGGCATATATACGCGATTTGCTAATTGACGCCTTCTAACTTTGAAGTTCGAAGCGTTGACTGACATTTATATGTCTACGTTTGCCTGGGGCTTTTCCCTAATTCTGCTATACTTTGAAATAATGCTAAAGAGCTAAAGACATTCAGAAATCAATAAAATATGACATATCGTCGGTAATCGGGGGCGTGGCAACACCTTGAACACCTTTTCTGTTTCACATAAAGTTAATATTCAAATATTCCAATTATGGAAGTGGCAAATCGTTTTGATATCTGTTGAAATTATGCTGGATAAACCGCAAAATCAATAAAATAAAGATCGCATAGCTGTTTGCAAAACCCAGCGACAATTAGGTAATCAAAATAAATTTGGCCTTATAATTTTCGGGAGGTTTCGAAACATAGTTTCAATTCATAAAAAAAGTCTATTTTAATAGGAAAATATTTTACGAATTAACGAGGGGACGAATATTCGGACTGTAATGCCTATATAATATAATATATATTACGATTTTAAATCTAGTGGCGGACAAATGATATATATACATATATATATATAATACCTTTACTACTACTATTCGCATTAGTTTCTGCTCTCGCAGAGTTAAAAACGTAAATTATATTAATCATTATCATCATCTTTTACTATTATCAATTCCTTAGCTTTATCCTTTATTATTCTATTTATTTTAATCCCGCTTTCTTTTCTTTTGTTTGTGCTTTTGAATTCTGGGCGTGATTTGTCGAGTTTTAGCAGACGCTGACGAAATTCGTGCATTCGCTTAACGTTCAGCTCAGGTGGTGTCCTTGCACGTGAGCTGGTGCAGTTGTTGTTGTTGTTGCTGGAATTGTCTGTGTTGTTGTCCTGTTGGGCACTCGAGTTCGCTGTGAGACTGCGAGCTCGATCTTCGCTCGATTGGCTTCTCGCCCTCTCTGTTAGTTCGCCTCTCTGATCCAGCTGCAGCAGACGCTGATGCAGCTCACGTTTGCGTTGGCTGCTCGATATCTTAGGCTTTTGCTGAGGCACTTCCTTTGGGCGTTCCAAATTCATGAGACGCTGGCGCAGATCGCGCATTTGCTGGGCACGCGGCAGGGATGAAGAGGAAGACTGTCGCCCGGACTGCTCAGCAGTGAGATTACTTGACTTGGATTTATTTACTTGAGCGCTTGCCATGTCCACCTTCATCAATCGTTCACGCAGTTCGTTCACAGTCGAACGACGATTATTTGATTTGGCTTCAGTGGAGGCTGCGGGAGCAACTGGAATGCATTGACAGAGCTCCAAATGGTTTTCACCTCCCACTAAAATAGTTTATATATTTAATAGAGACATGCCAATTATTAGAATCAGACATATTTACAACTGTTTATCGTCTGCTGTGTTTCATCGCATTCCTGTTTTATTTCCGTATGCAGACGCTCTTCTATTTTAATGGGTCCTATGTCCATTTCATATTCTGGTACTTCATAATCATCCGGATATTCCTTCTTAATGCAGTTTATATCCATATATTGCTGCATTTTCCAAAAATTGTTTCTCCCTTAGTGAATACTGTAAAAAAAAAAAACAAACTTGTTTATTCCAGCTGTTTCTAGAGATGAGACTCTAGCATGAAAGTAATTTGTTTGTTACCTATCGCAATCTGTTAAGCCAATTATATCGATTATTGGATAGCGCGAAAATTTAAATTATATAGAAAAATAGAAAACATTTTAGGTTCTTCAATAAAATTAGAAAATCAGAAAAACAGGAATTAACGCCTTAATATAACAAAAAATTATACGATAGATAGAAGCAGTTTTGTTAATGATTTGATTTAATTATGTCCATTATTTATATTAATATCTTTTTACCTGTGACGTCACAAATTTTCTTACACAACTATCGAATCGCCATTCAATCTTCGTGCACGTATCGATAGTCTGCGAGTGCTTTGCGCCTTAGCAACGATCCCTAACCGTTTACCGTTTGAAATTTGTCGGCTGTATAATTTTTAAAGTTTTGCGTGCGTTTTTTTGAGCTATAAAATGCTAATATAAATTGCTGAATAAGTGAATAAGTTGGTCAAAAAAGCATAAGCTGATATAAGTGCGCATATATGTATTTGTATTTATACCTATTTAATACATATTTAAGTGCTGTTCAACTTATCTGCTGTAGTGAAAATAAAAATATTTCGAAATAACGGCATATTTCGTTCATTTTTTTTTTCCAGTGCCCATGCACATATGTGCATGGGTAAGTATGCAGTGCTAAAATTTAAATACATTAAATAAAATGAAATTAAATAAATGAAATAATGCAAATATGTTGCAACTCAATTATATTTTGGTTATTGCAATTTCGAGTGTGCTTGGTTTTAAGAATTGCATAAAAGAGCAGTAGAAAGATTTGCGAACGAGGGATAACTTCGAGTAATCTTCGGCAATTATACTTCGGTTAACGCGTTTGTGTTAGTGTTTGTGATAATAACAAAGAGAAAATGCAAATGTGTGACTGCTTTGGAAATATGAGAGTAAAAGAGACAAATGTGTGTGCAAAAAGTGTGATGAGAGTTCCAGTATGCAATCAAGATTTATTGGAAGTGTCTATTTAATGAAGCGAGTATTGGAATATTTGATATCAAGGTAAAGTGAAAAATTCTTGCACAATTTACAATTTATTTTATTTTTTAAAATTTGAATTGCCTCTAATACTATAAATATTATATTATATATAAAGGAAAAACACATTGAATTGTTTTATAATTTATTTTATTTTGACATTTTACATAAAGTCAGCTAAAGCTAAATAAATCTTATAATTGTAGTAATAGGGGGACTAGAAGATTATGCTTCCACAATTAATATCACGTAATATTCTAAACAAAATAATCCATTGATAGTCATTAACACAATTCTATAAACTAATTGACATCAGAAAAAAAAAAAAACATAAAATGAGAATTTTTCATGTGTATAATTTAAAAATTCCCATTAAAAAAATTAAAAATGTATTAAATTTATACTTTCAATTCCAATAAAGATATTGCGTTCCATATAATTTTTGAGTCCTAGTTAATGCTCGTAAAATTTAGAATATATTATTTCTCATCTAGTCCTCCCACATACCAATAGAGCTGTTGTTCTAGACAATGTTTTTGATTTGATAAAGCTGGACAATGTAGCACACTAAAACTACTAGAGAATTGTAATTTTATTTGTAATTAAGCTACATATTTAAACTAATTATAATTATTTCAATTGTATGTTTATTTATTTTTTACTACAATAACTCGCTGGCATGTTTTAGCCAAGCGCTAGAAAGTCGCTGCACTTAAGGTCTACAAATGATATATATTTTACATAGTTTTTTTTAAATATATTATTTTTATTATTTATTTATTATTTTCTTGATATTTCCTTTATTCAAGTATTATATGTTGACTAATTTGAAAATTTGATTTCACTTAAAGATTAGTCTACATATTGGGCTAATGGTAATGCATATTTATGTGTGTTGGTACCACCTCTCACAGTACATACATTTATATTATATTATATATTCAGTATTTAGACTTTTAACCGCTATACGCGCGTGGGTGTTCCAAAGATGGGGACGTTGTTGCGTCGCTGGGCCAGCGGGGAGGCGGGTACTGGCATCGGTCCGTTGTTGTTGTTGTTCAGTCGACGTTGTTGGCTATCCGAATGGGCACGTTCTATAAGAATTGATATTCTATCTATCAGATATGTGTCTCTATATGCATATACATCGATATATACATATATCAATGGGGTATAACTGATTTTGGACATGCTTGTTTGGGTGTTTCGGTTCTTTGTATAGGATCGCTGCATGCAATATTTAGTTCGTTCAATCAGTTATTTACCACATATTTTCCGTTTCTTCTGCAATTCGTTAACATGCAATTGAAATAAAAAATAATAATACAATATTTAATATTTACAATTAAATATATTAGAAAATTATAATGTGTTGCGTGCGAATGTTAGGGAGTTGGTTAATAATAGCTTACTAAAACTAATACTTAATATTTTATTCAGTAAAATCAAAAATATTCTACCCAATACGTAAAATATCTAATTAAAACAATAGTTTAAGCTTAATGGTTCAAAATAAAAGAATAAAAATAACTTAATCATAATATTATGTATATAAAGATGGCATACAGCAAAACTATAACAATAAAACAAGATTTATAGAAGATTTTTTGTAATAGTAATTAATATTTTTTTTTTTTTTTTTTTTAAGTATTATTGAAAAAAAGTTACTATTAAAAAAATCATCATTTTGAAGAAGCCAATTCTTTTCTATTCTCTATTGGTCATGCAAATTTAAGGCTAATTCCAAAAGTCAGTTTTGCTATAAATATATCTGGCTTTTATTTTATTTTTTTTATTTGGTTACTAAACTTTTTCTAAGTTCAAGTTATATACATACACATATAATATTTTATATGGCAATTAATATGCCTCTACACATTTTATTCATTCATTCAAATATATTATATTATTGTTGCTCAAAATACAATTCTTAAAAAAAATGTTATTTACAAAATTAGTAAAGTCATTCTCCCCCCAACTTAAACGTGCATTTGTGTGGATAAATATTTACCTCGAAACTTGAGGCCCTGGGCCTCATTGATGATGGCCGCCAGAGCTGGATGCTGATAACGCTCCCGGAAGATGGCCGATCCGTTCATGGCGGAGCCGGCGTTGCCGTTGAGCGTGCCGCTGTTGCCGTTGCCATTGCCATTGCTGTGATGATGCATGATCTTGTGCTGTGGCGTATGCTGGGGCGTTAGTGAAATGGGGGGCGTGGCATTGCCATTCTTATAGTAGCGATTCTGATTGGGATCATAGGTGCCGTTGGTGTTGGTATTGGTGTTCTGCTCGTGATTATGATTGAGACGATTGGCCAACTTAATGGATGCACAGCGCTCCTCCTCATTGTTGCGCATCTTCAGTATGCGCTGATCCTGCACTGAGTAGCGCGAGCCGTGCAACGCGTTCAACTGATTCAGATTGTTCACCTGGGCGCTCAGCTTCTTGGCGCGGAAGCTGCCGCCGGGCGAATTGTTGAGCAGCGTGCCACGTGATGAGCTGCCATTCGTTTCGGTGCTGTCGCGACTCGCGGCCTCGCGATAGCTGGAGGGGCGGTGTGTAGATGGAGGCGTGTCCAGGCCACTATCATGGGCCGAGCAGTCCAGCTCCTGTTTGTTGTTGGCCAGGCCAGCTGTGCTGCCGCCATTCGCATTGTGAGTGGGCAGCATGGGTTGAACTAGAACGGAGGGAGAGAGGGAGAGAGAGAGAGAAACTTTAAGTCTTAGTTATACAAGGTGGAAATTTGTTGAGCTCACCTGAATGGCGCATATCGGTGGGCGCACGAGGTTTGCGATAGAGCCAATCTCTGTCCAGTTCATTGCCATTGTCCGGTTGGGCGCTGATGCCGCGGAAAAGTCTGGGGCGACGCAACTGCACCTCAGCCTCCTCGGCGGTCTCCTCGTCAACCACCTGATTGGAACCGAAGCTGCTGTTGATGAAAATCCGCCGAGGCGAGCCATACAAGACGCCACCAGCCTGGGTGAAGCTGTTCTGCGCCGAGGCATAGCCATTCGAGTATCGACTGAGATTTGCATTGCTGTGATGCGGTATTTTTTGTGGTGTGGAGTGATTCGTTGAGATGCCGCTCAAATGATGATTATGATTCTCATTGTTGAGGGCACTCAGATCGGGCACAGAGTCGCTGAACAAAAATGGATTGGCACCCGCATAGCCATTTAGGCTGCCAGCGCCGATTTTATGACGTGCCAGGCCGCCGCCGCCGCCGCTCGCCGAGCCATTCGTCATCAGCCAATCGTCCAGGGCGCTGGAATAGGTGCTGCCCAGGCCAAAGTGCTGGAACTGCAGCGAGGCATGCGAGACGGGTGCGGCCAGAGAGGCGCGCGATCTGGGACCCTGAGCGATCTTCAGCGCGCGACGACGCTCCTTGGAGGTCAGCGTGCATTCCTGTGTTTGGGGAATCATTCAATTCCATTTAGTATAAATCCACTTTGGGCTAATTCATGCAAAGACTTACTTCCAGCAGCTCAAACCAATCCTCGAGGCCATCGTCGCAGCGCAAGAGCACCCGACCTTCGCGTCCCAGTAGCAGCCCAATGGCGCTATACGAGCGTCTATTGAGCCATTCCACCTTCTCCACGTCGACCAGCTTGACCTGAAATTATTTAACAAAACAATAATAAGTCCACGGTCCACAACATCATTGTTACACTGCAACACAATAGGAATAAAAGTCAAAGGTTAGGCAATGATCGCTGGACTGACTGACTGAATGACTGACTGACTCTCTGGGCCACGCAGCAGGGGTCTGGGAATTGGACTGCAGTTCAACTAAAGACGTGCACGTTTCTTAAGATTGTGATGAATGGGGACATGAACATCCAAAAGAATTAAAGCAGTTGCGTGATCGCAAGGGGTAAAGGGGATTCAAAATAGTTTTAAATTTCAAATGAAATTACTAGGGAGATTAAAGAAGAATCTATAAGCTAGAAATTGTTCAATAATATTTAGAAGTAGATTGTTAACGGTTTGATCCACAATTAGTAGAGCTTAGAACGTTGATATGAAAATTAAAAAATTCAGTTTGTAATAAAAAAATTTAATGAAAATCATAAAACAATTGGAGACCTTTTTTTTACTTAAAAAAACTATTCTTAAAAATTATTAAAGAAGAAAAATACATTTTGAAGTAAGATAAAAAAAAAAAAATAAATAAATAAATAATGAAATATAAATAAATTATGAATAATAAATAAATATATACTTTGTATATATAAATATAGGCTATAAAAATATATATTTTTAAATTATTTGAATGAAAAATGGAAATATATCAATTAAAAATTAATTACATGTATTTTTATTTATTTCAAAAATGGTTTAAGACCAAGCGCTTTAGTGCTTTTGTTAATCCTTAAGGCATTCCATATAGTAAAATTTTAAATACATTCTAACTTGAATTTAACTAATCAAATTATTTTCATATTCAATTTGGAGTTGCTGAAATTCTTTTTCTATTTTCTTTCTCTTAATTAAACGTGTTTCTTCCCCTTACTTTGGTTTCTTTTATTTTAGCTGTCGAAAATGCTTAGAATGTCTATGACATCAGCCGAGCTGTAGTTGCCATTTAAGATTGCATCGCAGTTGCCATTCGAAACTAATGCACTTAAATTGAATGGCAGACGCCATAAAATAAATTGCTACTCAATTATTTTTAGCACGTCTTTATGCAAAACTTTTGGTCCAACAACAATACAACAATTAAGTGGCTGGCGCCCTCTATCTATCTACCTATCTCGCTTTACACTATCTACCTTTCTCTGGCAACTATTGAGCGTTTCTTTTTGTTTCTTCGTTCACGTTGTTCTGCTCTCTAATTTGGTCTTAGTGCATTTTGCAACTCGGTTAAAAGTCATTAGGCCAGGCTGACAGTTTTGCCCTGGCCAAGTGCAAAAACTTTTTAACCATGTAGAACTTTTATTGAACTCATTTTTCTTCATTGCTTTTGTTGTTGTTGTCGTTGTGCTGGGCAAGTTTATTTGCTTGTTGTTGGCGCTGCTTTATGGCCAGAACTTAAAGCTGTTACCGATTCTGTGCTCCAGCTAAAAACTATACGAGGCCATTAGGCAAATATGTCAGCAGCGTGTGGCAATTAGCCAAGTTATGCGATATCAAACGTTGGCCAAGACATTTTTCTTAGCTATCCGCTCGCCGCTTCTATTTTTATGGCCAACCATAATTAAGTTGCTTTAAATGTTGCGCACAGTGAATGGGAAACGTTTTTATGATAAATTGCGCGATTTATGTTTACAATATAAAACAACACCAACAACAACTACAAAGATGGTATTAGATTGGATTTGAGATACATTGGGTTAGGAGATATGCGTGTGTGATCGCTCATCATGCCGCTGCAGCATGTCAAAAGCCAAAGGCCTTGTCGTACAACCATTAAAGTGCGCCCCAATAAAATGATCTAAGACTATAAGCGACGCGCTGGAATTATCTATGTGGGCTGCAAAACATGCCAAATATTATAGGTTATTTGTGGGTGCCATAGATACATATATATATATATGTGTGTATCTATAATTTACATACATATGAAAAGAGATTTATAGTACATTTATTTTGATCAGTTTTGTGTATGGAAAATGTTTATTTGAAATTATATTAATATGCGCTCTAGTTAATCCTGCTGCGTATTATAGCTGACTCAGCTATTAGACATTGATGTATGCGGGACTAGACAATATAGAAAACATTTTAAAAATGGTTCATTATTTATTTAAAAATTCAATTTTCTGAGAGGAATATCAATTATAAAAGAATAAGAATATCAAGAGACATTTAAAAATGATTTTATTGCATCATTAACTTAAATACTTTAAATAGATTAAGCATGTAAACAAATATGATATAAAACAATTAGGTGAAGATGTAAAATTTTTTAAAAATTTCTTTTTGAATATATTTTTTGATACCAGTAATAAAAATTGAAAAAAAAAAAAAAAAAAAAATTCGATTAATATTTTAATAATATTTTAAATACTAAAACAAATAGCTAAAAATTCTAAATTGGTAAAATAATGCTTGGCAATATATTATTTATTATCCAGTTTAAAATATTTTTCAGATTTAAAATAAAACAGAATTCAATATTAGGAAAAAATTTAATATAAATGTACATGCCACCAATATGAGTTTACATTTAATATTAAAAAGTTATTTAAAATATAATTCCGTTCCACAATTTTTCGGACTCCATTCCAACTCAATTCAAATACTTTTGCTTTCCTATTCAAAATGTATTGAAATAAGTTAACAATCTAACTTAGCTGACCCTCATTAATCCAATTTACAATCACAAAACAAAACAATGCATTTTCCAATTTCCGCCTCCAAAAATTATTTTAGTAAACTAGCCGCAAAACTTAAAAAAAAATAATAATAATAATAAATAAATAAAAATAAATTTAAAAAAAATAAACCGAGAGAGAGAAAAAACTGAATTAGTTTCAAGGCTGCCATTGATTAGCTGTTATTGTTATTGTTTGTTGTGTTTCATATTTTGTCATATTCAATAGCATTCGCTTGTCAAAACTGAATAATAATAAAATTCGATATGTAGGCTTCATGGTATTGAGTATTTCTTCATTTAAAGACATTATTCGGTGCGCTTTTGATTGATTTGTGAGGTTAAATCTCGATGCTTTATAAACTTTTCATATTTCTGATATTTATTTCTCGAACATTTTGCCATCTTTTCCATTTTAATTATGCAAATGCATTTTTTAAACGATTTCAGCGTGCCGCCAGGCATGCTCGCTCCATTAATATCGAATCATTATAGCGGGAGTATATACATATCCGATTTCCAGCATCAAAAATCAATATTGATTTCAATCACTGTCAAAATGCAGAGAAGCAGAAACAAGAAGAAAAAAAATCAAAGCAAAAACTGCAAACTTTGGTGGCAGTCGTAGTCAACCAGCAGGCTCTCGATTGCTGCTACCTTTTGCTCACCTCGCCACCCCCCTCATTATATGCGTCTCTCCGTCTCCGTTCTCCTCTGTGTCTCCCTCTCTCCCTTTCTCTCTCTGTCGTGATTGCTGTCACGTCACCTGTAATTATTAAGCATCGCTACATTTCACGCGCGATTGATTTTCCCCGTGGAAATCAACGGCTGACGGTGGGCACAGCAATGCGCTTCATTGACAGGTCTTCCAATCAACATCATCATTATCATCATCATCAGCTCGCAAAATTTTCAATCATTTTGAAATTTATGCAAAAATCAAATTAAATAATTAGACTGTAAATGAGGCTGTCTACTGCCTTTCATCGCACATCTAATTGATTAAGTTGATTACATTGACAAGGTGTTATTGATTCCAGTTCTCATGTCAACTAATACATAAACAGACGGGAGAACGCGCGTGTGTGTGCGCGCAAATTGGAATACGCTTTGAAGTGAATTCAATAAATAAAATGGAATACATTATCAATTGTCTAGCTGATAATAGGAAATTATCGTAGAATATACTTATTTCAATAAATTTAGAGAATGTATAAAATTGAAAAATATAATTAAAAGCAAAGTAAAACAATATATAAACAAAATTATAAAACAATTTTAGATATTTATAAATAAGTTATAAAAACTATATAAAACTAAACTAATTATTTGAATAATTTATTAACAATTAAAATGTTTAATGAATTTTAAATTAAAAATAAAAATAATGTCTTCAACTACTATTTCGAAAATTTCTTTCATAAGTAAGTGTATTATGTGCATAAAAAAGACAACTCCATAGATACCTCTAATGAGGAAGACAGCCCATGGCCTCACAGCTCAATGACTTGATTTCGTTCATGGTTCGTTTGGCTGGTTGTTGTCTTTGCTAATAAGTGTGGGTGTCTGAACTAGAGATGCCCAAATTCGGCAAAAATGTTCGATTTGAATATTCGATGAAATACTGAAGGTCTTGAAGGTGTAAAAAAAATGCTTGGACAAATTTAAAGATTATGTGAAATAGTTTTGCGAGGTTTAATGAAGAGAGGAATATAATTCAATCGATTTTTAAATGTTTATTAAAGATGTTTAATAACTAATACCACAATACCCTAATTTCCCATTTTCAATGAGAAAAATACAAATACAAACTGATTCAATTCTTTACGAAAGTTGTATTATACCACATATTTTTGCTAAAATACTCTTTATCCATACATTATATCACCGCAATTTGTTGCTGAAGATTGCTTTTCTTTCCCCCATCTAAACTTGTTTCTCTTTTTCGCATTAAATTCCATTTACCTTGATTATCTGCTGCTCTCGCTGAATTGTTTATTTTGGAAAATTGCCCGCAATAAATAAAAATGTTTGCTGCTGCGTTTGAAATTAATTTTAATTTTAAATCAAGCTGTAAACAACAAAACAGTGCAAACTATTTATTGACGCTGCTTTTGCAGAGATTTGAAGTAGCAAAAAGCGAGCTACATAAAATAAATAGAGATAAAACCTAAATTAAACGAAAATAAAAGCAATTTTCCCATGATCTCTTTATACTTGCTGTTGTTGTTGTGGTTGTTGTTATTGCTGTGCTAAGTGGCATTTGTATTGCTGCTGCTGCTGCTGCTGCTGCTGTTGTTGTTGTTGTAGCTTTATGTGCATTTTCCTTATTTGTTTAAAAGCAACAACAACGAACCATTTCACTGCAATCGTGTGTTTTATTTATTTTACTTTTTTGCTTTACTCTTTTGCTGCTTTCCTGTTTTGCTATGCATTTTAATTTTACCCGTTGCTCTTTAGCTACGTATTTGCTTTGTTTTAATGGCAAAGTTTTGGAAGCTGTAGCTGGTGCGGGGCAAGGCCAGTGGGCCAGGCTCTCATGTGGGACGTACCGATAGTTAGGCAAATTAACATGCAGTATCTGCAAGTTTTAGCCAATTAGCAGAGTTTTGGACACGCGGTAATGAGCCCTGTTGCAGTGGAGAAATGCAGTGGGAAATGGAGCTTATTCAAATAGGAATAGGATGCGACATATCAAGTGCAAGTTTGAATGAAAAACAGTTGAACTAATTCAGTTTATTTTTCATATTAATTTTTAGCATTTTTTATTTTTTTTTATTTTAGGTGTCTATATCTATATATTTAAATTTTTTTTAAATTAATTGTTTAGTTTTATTTATTTATTTTTATTTTTTAAATTAATATACTTCCATTTTTGTAATAGTCTTTTTACTTTATGAATTTTCATAAAATTAATTTTTTATTTAAATATATATATAGTTTATTTGAATATTTTGTAGTTGATTATTTTTATATACTTTTGTTTATTTTTCATATGCTTAGCGCTTCAATATTATCCCCCTCTCATTGTACTAAAATATATATCTATCCCAACCATCTCAACACATGGCAGAACGTGACTTTATGTGAGTGTGAGGCTACAAAGGGGAGTCAATTTATTAGCATTTGTTATATGGCTTTGTCTTTTCAAGGTGTGTCCTGCCCCCGTCAGATATGGGGCATAAAGCGCACACTTACTGTGCCACGCCCACTAGCGCGCTGCACAGTCATAATAATCATGAGTATGACAAAGTTATACTCGTAGTTCTCATAATACTTGGCATAAATCTCGTTGCGGTAATAGAATTTTACAATGCGTAGTAAATAAGCAAGAGATCTGTGCTTTTTGCTCGGGGTGTGCGCATAGTCTGTGTGAGAGTGTGTGTGAGTTTTGGGTGTTAACCTGGTCAAGCTGTTGAGCTAACCCCGCTCAGGTAACTCTGGATAATTGGTGGGGCGTGCTGAAGATTTATAGCGATATGTACAGTAATAAAAGTTTTAAGCTTAAATATAGGGTAAACCGAAAAGTGTTTTGCAACTTCCCATATAAATGACATCACCGACAACTGCAGACAACTTCTTAGTGTTGCAAAATATTATGGAAAAGTATTGTGTAAGTCAGAAAAAGACGACTTCTTTGTTCAGACCCACAAACCATATAAAGGACTGCAAGTGCATCAACGCTTTCATACCCTTTACTCAAATAATTATCAAAACGATAACAGGTTAAATGTTTACTAAAGTTTTTTTCAGGCTATAAACTTGAAAACAAATTTTAAAAAAATCTATAAATACTTGTTCAAAAATATCTAAAAACTGTAACTTGATCTTTAGTGCATAACCTTTGACATCTTTCATAAATGTTTAACTTGGCTACAATGGACTTACCTTAAATATAAATTGTCCCATATCCGAGGCACGTTCATTGGCCGAGCCCGAGGCACGTTTAAAGCAATGCAAATAGTCGCGGGTGAGCACAAAATATCTGCAATAAAACGAAATCAAAACAAAAGTAAATAAATAAATTTGACTCATAAAAAATCCATTTGCTAACCAACAATTTAAGGCCAAGTCTTATATTAAAGGTCAATTGCCTGAAGAGTCACTCAATAATGATGATTGTAAAATAATTATGATACAACAAATTTTTAACAATTCAAAAATTGGCAACAGCTTGCCAATTGGCAGTGATTAGATATACAATGGGCCACACGCAGGGCTCCGTAAAAAAATTGTTATTAATAAATAATAAATCATGCGTCAAAAAAAGAAAAGAAAAAGAAATACCAGAAGTCAAAGCCAAAAAGCCACTTGAGTAACTTGGCTACAAAAGCTGCTTTAGATTTTATGGCTTTCATAAGACGATGATAATAATATTTTATCGTCTCGGTCGCAGCAATGAAAAATCTTTTATTAATATGCTATTGGCATTTCCTTATTTTTATTTTTATTTTTTTGCTTCCTTTGAGAAATCATAAATTTTATTTTGCCCAAACTTAATAATGCATGGCAAGAGATATTTGCTTAGCGACTGTTTCTACCTTAGCCATCGATTTATTTATGGCGAAAAACTTTGCAGTCGAACGCAATGAAAATTCTGTTTCGACGAGTTCTTAAAAGGTGCTTTCAAATAATTCACAATGAAGAAGAGTTTCTTTCGCTAGGCCAACAAAAGAAGCGCCAAATTGATTGTTTGCCAGTTGGCAGTTGTTATACTCTGTGCCCACAAAAGGGAATAAGAGTATATTGGTTTTGCCTGTCTTTCCGTTTGGGTAAAAGCCATTCCGGCGCTTTCAAATTCAGAATATATATTTGATTGATAAACTGTCAAGATTTTCCTGATAGACCCACTAAGAGCATGACGAATCGGAAAAAACATTTTCCGGTATGCCAGATATCCAGTTATACTATTACAAGTCTTAGGACTTGTACCATTAGTATTGAGTTCCGGGTATAAGAGTAAGATGGGAAGCAAAGTATCACGCAGTTGGTTGCGCCCAACTGCAACGTTCTTACTTGCTTGAGCTTGAAGTTCTACAACGAATTGCAGCTCATAGCTCGCAGCTGCTTATTAACGTGGTCAAGCAAATTGAGCCAGGGCGAGACGTTAAATACTGTTTTGTAAACGAGCGATGCTGCTGCTTTCGCACCGAGTCTGGTTAATTGCTTAGCCATTGCTGTGGGTTTGGCTAATAATGTACCGCTGCAGTGATTAGTTAAGCTGGCTAAATGCTGGAAGCATGAAACGAACGTAAGAGCGTAGGAACGAGAGCCATGCAGATTGCAAGAACTTAATGAGTGGAAACTTTCAAGTAAAAAAAAAAAAAAAAAAAAACATAATACAAAGTAAAATAAAACTGCGAGTCGACCACAGAAGCTTATGAATAAACAAAACGCGCATAAATAAAGAAAAGTTAATGAAGCAACCGCTGGGAAATGAAATAGAAAACAAATTTAAATAATAATTATGGGATATAGTTAATTTTGATCTTTGGGCATAAATTGTATAATTTGGTTTTGTTTTTGCTTTTTTGCTTTTTTTTTTTTTTTTGTTTGATAATGTGCGCAAAGCATTTAATATGCCAATCAATGTTTTCAAATATCCAAATAAACCAAATGAGAATCATATACACATATGCGAAAATAATGACCATATATGTATGTATAGAAAAGATGATAGATGATGTGTACGGACAGCGATAAAAGTAAATATCAGCTAGATTATATAATGATGGAGTGAAAAACGATTAAAATTTATGAATAAGAGGTAAAAAAAAGAAAAAGCTATACAAAGAATAAACAAAAATAGAAAATGGCTACAGATTGATTTCATTATTATACTAAACTATTGCTCGAATGAATAACTAAAAAATAGAAGAACTTACTAATACTAATTAAAATTAAACCTTTGCATACTGAACGATGTTACTTGTTTCAACGAATTGATATATTACTAACATTTACTATTAAAATTCTAAAAATTAAAATATATTTAATATTTAAAGTATTCTTAAATTTACAAAAATGTGTTTAAAATTTCAAAGAATAAAATTTTTAATGAATATTATTTAAAAAAAAATATATATGAAATATTTTTGAAAATGAAAATGTCGAAAATTTGTTTTTGAAATTTAAAGTATTGACAAAACACAAAATGAATTTTATAAAAATTGAAAAGCTTTTTCCTAATCTATAACAAATATTTTTTCCTTTTAATATCATACTTTTTTATGAAAAATCTCAAAAAATGCAATTTTGTGCCTCACTCAATTATTTTGATTATACAAAATGTAAACATAAATGTATATGCTAAAATATTGAAGCTCAATAATTATAACACTCAATTGAAATAGCACTTCCCCAACATAATAAAGCAAATAACTAATTGGCATGACTTGTAATGGTATTTCCATGCAATTGATGGAGCTCAAATATGCACAACTGATAGCAGTGCTTAGTGGTCATTAACTGTCAATTAAAAATGTGCCGATAATCGTAATTACCAGCTGAATTGAGAACTCTGCGCGAGGGTCAGAGGGTGAGAGACAGAGAGTAACATAATTAAATTTCAATTAAATGCACAACAAACACAAACAAAAACACCGACCTGAATGCCCTCTGTCAACCCACCCATCCCCCCGCGCACTCAATCAGTTGGCAATTCCATTCATTCCCATTTGCATTTGCATATCGCCCTCTCTCATAGCGCGTTTGCATTCACATTTTGCATTATCTGCAATTCGAATATGAAAGTAAACTTCATTCAGCCACACAGTCAGTCAATTATGCGCTTTTTGCAATTAACAACCCCTGGGTATATAAATATGCATCAAATGCTACCTGGTCAATTCGAGAGGGTTGCTTACACTTAATAGCTGATTACAGGGGTAAAATGAAATATTTAAAATGGGCTTTTAACGTGATTTTTCAACTATTATTTTGGGGAATAATTAAAGAAAAATTATTCATATATTTTCGTTCTATTATTATTTGAGCAAACATTTATTATGAATAACAAGTTTAATAATAATAATAATTAAGAAGTTGTCAAACTGAGTATCTACTTTGGATACTTAAAAAAAATATCCCAAAAGGCAATTCAATAATTGTTTAATTAAATTAATATTATATATAATAAATTTAAAATATATTAATTTAATAATATTATCAATGAAAATAATATTATATATTAATTATATATATCATTATATATAATAATTAAATAATTGAAAACAATAAATTATTATTATTATTAAATTATTTTATGTTGTATATACTTTTAAATACTTAGAAATCAAGATAAAATTTGATTAATATACTAATAAAATACTACATGTTTATTGAAATTATATAAAACTGCAATATAAAAGGTAATTTGTATATTATTTTAAAAGATAATTTATTTATGTTTATTAAATGCAATATTTAAAATATGATTTTCTAGATATTCTATAAAGTACTAACTCACGTCTATGTAGCTTATAAAACAGCCCTGATTCGGTTTTAATATTAATTAGATCTTAGACTCTTTATATATTCAGCGTTATTCGCGTCTCTTACCTTTCCTTCCAGCGCGAGAAGAGACGATCCCGTTGCTGCCACAGCAGTCCGCGTTTAATTGGTCCCGTCATGGAGGCCACAGGTATGCGACCCGCTAGCAGCGATTGCTGTGACAAGATAAACAGATAGAAAGAGAGAGAGAGAGAGAGAACTGATTAAAATTACGTGCATATATGCATTTGCCATTAGCTGTAGGGGGAGTTAGTTTATGCCGATTTTGCACATTTGTTTAATTTATGATAGAACATTTTCTGAACGTCTCAGCTGTTTTCGCTGGCTGTCGCAGTGGTTCTCATAATTCTTTAGCCCCTGCACTTTACGGTACTTTAAATAATTTAAACAACAACAACAACAAGTCGTGAACCTTTGTGTCTGGCTCCCATGAGCTATGATTAATGTTGCTTTAAAAAGCCGCCACTTGCCTTGCCTTGCAACCTCCCTTCAGCCGCCCCCGCCAACAAGCGGCAACCCCCGCCCCATTTTAAGCACGCCTGCTGTACCATAAATTCCGTTTTGTATTTTTTTTCAGTATATATATTATATATATAAAAAAATATATTTTTTTTCATGTTGTGTGGCTTGCTGTTGTTGTTTTTACTCATAGAAGCAATTTATTATCAAGCGGGCTGAATTATATTTTATATTAACAAATGTTTCGTAGCTGGTTAAATAATATAAGCGGATATAGACATGCATATACATATATAATATATGTATACATATGTAAGTTTTTGATGGTAAGCTGGAGCATGGAGGCAATTATAATGAGTTAATCTTTGTGGCTTATGCGGCTTACACATCAAATTAACAATAAACAATAATTTAGCGGTTAACTTTATATGATGAAGTCATTTAAAATGATAAAAAATATTAAACATATTCAATGGTATTTTTTGGTAAGAATTCATTGTGAAGAATTTGACAGCAATTTATAGAAATTTGAAATAATATTTAAGGTCAGCAAATGTTTGATATGTTTTGTATATGAAAACATTTCATGTTATTTAATAAGCTGTCAAAGATAGCTTAATGATAAGTTGAACATTCAAAAGTAAGAAAACACTAACAGAAAATCCTTTACTATCCAAAACTCACTTGAAAACCAATAGCTAATCTCTATGCAAAAATTTATATGTTGAAATAAAGCACGAAAATAATAATTATAATAACAAAATGCCATAATAAAGATATTTAAAATAATAGCTAAAAAGCCAATGTATGTATATTACAAAATGAAGATGTTTAGATAAACTTGAATACCCAATAGTAGGTCCAAAATAAAGATGCTATGATAAACTTGATACCCAATAATTTAGGTAAAACAAAGATGCGCTGATAAACTTGAATACCCAATGGTTGAGATGCTTAGATTAGCTTTATTAGGTGATAGTTTATCTTCACAACTTTTTCCTAATTTAAATAACTAATTTATTAAGATTTGTATGTTAAAAAAAAAAAACAAAAAAATTACAGCAACCATTTCATTAAAGATAAGATAATTTTTTTATTTTCAAAAAATAGTTAAAATTATTCCAAATTAAAAAAAAAAAAATTTTTTTTTTATTTTTTAAAAGATTTTTTATTTTTGTTGTATATTTCATAATACCCATTATCTCTGCAGCTAATAATTTCAAGTATCTTTATTATCGCATTTCTATTATTTAGCACGCAATTTAATTAATTTGTAAGTTTACCAAATAACGTGTATATATATATATATTTATCTACCAACTGGCCAACTTAGTATGCCGCCCATTAAATGCCCCCAATTTCAAGAATTCAGTCGCAACGCATTTACTCATTAAATCCAATGGCTGCTGCACGTTTCTATCCAAAATACACACACACTTACAAAAAAAGAGAACTACGAGGTCCATTCGAGCCACTCGGTCCACTCGGTCCATACGCTCCAACCGAACAATAGTTTTTAATGTGCTAAATTAAGTTTCGAATGCCTCTTTATAGAGGGCGCTTTCCACTTCCCCTCTTGGTCTTCCCTTTCGAGAAAATTACCCGCACAATTTCTTTTCGAACTTGGGGGCCACGAACACTGAACACCGAACAACCCCAACCGCTTGCTCTGTTTGCCATATTGAATTTGAAGTTAGCCAAGGCATGCCTTTTGTTCTACTTCTTCCTCTGCCGCTTCTTCATTTCGCTACGTTTCTGTTGCTGTTGTTGTTGTTGTTGTCTGTGTCTGGGCGCTTAAACGTGACTACCGTTAATTTGGCCAGAACCTTATTTAATGCTCTGGCAAAGAAGTTCTTGCCACAGTATACTAAGATTGTGTTGCAACGATAAGCGAAAGACATAGCACAACAAAAACAAAAAGTATCTTCATTTTCGGCTGGCCAAACCGAAAGAGAAAGGGAGAGAGAGAGAAGGAGAAAAATTACGAAATAACACAGCGTGTCAAAGATTTATCGGCTTGAAAAAGTATTTCGAATTAAGCGAGCGCTGCCGCTACTGATGATATCATTTCCCAGATTTGCGATTTCAGATTCACATACCTTTGGCCAAAATGTATCTACAGAGTACACACACACACACACATGCACAAACAAGCATATATGGAAAAGCGATTGATGGGATAGCATCAGGCCGGCATGGCCTTTAGCACCCATTTGCCTAGACTAAACTAACCCGTCGATAATTCATTTTTGGTATTTCTCGATTCATAGTTGTTGTCAAATCGAGCGCCCGTTAGCGCCCCGCACGGCCTGCTTTGATTGATTTCGTGTTGGCCATAAGCATATCATTAAGCGCGCACGCCCCAAGCCAAATGGTGCCACAGAGGCAGTCGAAAACTAACCACTGGATCGTTTTTTTTTTTCTTATGGCTTTATAATGAATCGCCTAATGCTTGACATTCGTTGTTCGCCAGTTGATACATAGCTGTTGATTTATCTGCCGATTTCCATCGCCAGCGCCATCCTGTGCGATGCTAGAGAAACTGCTGAAGTTTCTCATTAAATTTAGCCAAATGTCGTTTGGCGCCGTTTGCATAGAAATTGGATAATTTTTCGGACTTCGATTCTCAAAATTTAAATAGAAATCGTTCTATTTAGAGATGCAGGTATGTATATTAGTGTTTTAATTATTTAAATATGAAGAAATCATAATATTAATGTTTATGGATCATTTCTATAAATTTCACATTTCTTATACAAAAATTATTTTTTTAATTAATTATTTAATTAATTTTTTAATTTGACAAAATTTTACATTTTAATTTTAAACAAACATTATAATTTAATCATTTTTATATTTTTTTTTTTGTATATTTTTCAATTAGTTGTATTAAACAATAAACGTATTGAAAATATGAAAACAGTACCTTTATTTGTTTTTGCGATTTTGTTTAAACATGTAACTTTTAATTAGGTGTATAATTATAAAATAATATATCAAAATTTAACAATTTTATAATTATTCGAAATGGTTAAACAACAAACAAAATTTAGAAACAACTAAATAATATTCTTTTTTTTAAATTTATTACAGAATTTTCTAACAAATTATTGTATATATGTTAGCAATAAATTAGTTCACTATATTCTGATCGTAAATTCTGAATGCGCTTGACCTCCTTCCACTCATTATCACCTTCATCAGCTGATTATTCAAAGCTTTTATAGAACAAGACAATACATAAATAAATTCTAACAGAATAAAATCTATGGACAGCCTTTATTAATAAAGCCAAAAAAAAAACGGTTCTTTTTTTTTTAAAGAAAATTTATTTTTTTTATAAAAAAATCAAAATACCAAAATTAAATTAAATTTTCGTCACGTTCTGTGCATGTAAATTATGGCCCGGCATATCAAATGTTTTTGTTGTTGTTTATTAGTTTTTTTGTGTGCCTTGTTGTTTTTGGTTGTTTGTATGTGTGTGAGTGTGTGTGTGTGTGTGTGTGTGCCCCACCATGTGCTGCGACTGGGAGCGGAAATAAAGCGTATAATTGTTTAACACGCATCTGTGGAGTTGTACAGCATTCCTAGAACTTGGCTTTAATGGCTCAATGTGAGTTATTTGTATGGACAAAAGTGTGCCAAAAAGCATTCGTAAAGCGATTACACCAACTGCAACTCTTAACGAGGCTAAGGGCTTCGAAGATATGTGGCAAAAATATCTGTCATAAATCAATCAACCCTATTGCGTAAAAGCCACAAATAAATTTCAAATTTGTTTGAGAGCTGAACAGATGAGCGCGCGCAGCTGTCGATAATCAACGATGATGACACAATTGCTAAATAATACGAGCACCAGGCAGTATGGTTGGACTTGATTCGAACACGACAATCAAACCAAAGCCAACATAAGAAGCACAAATTTATGATGAATTCAAAGAAATAATACAAGAGGAGCGTCAGCATCTGCTGCGACGGTTCTGTGTTGGCGGGTGCTTAAAGTGGGTGTGTGAGTGTGTGAGTGTGTGTATGTGTGTGTATTTGAATGTGATTGAAAACTGCAGCGAACGAGGGCTGTTCAGTGAGTAAGATAACCTTGATTAGATGAATACTAATTCAACTTAGCATACAAGTTTTGTGGTTTTAATTTGTCTATTATAATACTTTTAAATATATCAAAAATTTATGTAGAGCTGAATAATCTATTAAGCAATTTTTATTTATTAGCAATTATTGATTATAACTATAAATAAATACAGCATAATTGTTTACCCACGATTTTACCCATATTTATTATTGAAATAAATAAATTTTTAATAAATATTATATATAAATTACTAGTAGGCTGCCTAAATATGAAGATAAATGCGGCATAGATTTTGCCTAACAAGTTTCACTCTCCAAGGAATATGAACAATATGCGATTTATTTATTAGGAAAATTTCCAATAAAATGAAGCCTACCTACAGACCCGTTACTTTTGAAAAGTAAATATATAAATATAGGTTTTATATATATATTGTTTTCTATTTTGGAAAGTGTTGTTTTTATTTATTTTTTATTTGTTTATTTTTTATTTTTATTTTTGTATTGTTGAGCGTATTATAAATATGGAAAAGTCTAGAGCTATATAGTCATTCTTATTAATGACAATTAATTTATTTCAAATATATATAATACAAGTCTGCTAAAAGCT